CTTGCTACATGGTCCGGTTTAGGAAAAGATCGTGAAACTTTACTCCTCCTTTCAACCTCGACAAAGCGAGGACATACAATATCCTCTACAGGCTGGACTACCAGCAGGACTGGTCCCTCCTCAGGACGTTGTTCTTCACCATCATGGACTTAGATGCTGTGTGTTGTGCCTGTAAATATCAGCCTGTGTGTGTAAACTGTGAGCGTGTTGTCGGGGTGGGGGGGGGGGGGGGTCGCAGGGTTCCTCTCGTCTTGCTCGGGTTTCAGTGTTGTGGACAGACTGCTCCTCCTCAACTGACTGCAGCACAATGCAGCAGCAGATGAATGGTGATTCAAAGAGCAGCTGCTGCTTTTGATGATGATGATGGAGGAGGATGGAGGGGGGGGGGAGCTCGAGGCGGGTGGAGGGGTTACCTGTTCAACTCTCTGACAGCGAGGGGGGGGGGGGGCGGCGGAGGGATCAGTTTTCCCTCCTAACTGCACATAATGAAGAGTTTCATTCCTTCTGCTCCGACAAACGGAGTCAGAGCAGTTATTACGTGTTCCTGAGCTCGTGTTCTCAAAGAGTCCGTCTGGGCTTCATGTCTGAGGCTACGAGGGGGAACATTTAAAGATGCTCAATGCTAGTTCAAGCTACGCACACACGTTCTCACTACATGCATTCATTCATTTAACGTGTATGTTTGCTTTTTTCTTCCTTATTTATCTTTGTGGATTACGTGACTTTTGTATTTGCTTGTAATGCTCATTGAGAGGAGATTCCTTCAAAATAAACGTTCATCCTAACAGGAAGCAGAATGTGTTCGGTTCATTTCATGTCCTCTTATTAAAAAGAGACAAACGTGTCGGTGACGGGGACATTTGGGTCGGTTTGGTGGAGCCAGAAGTAGAATCAGAGGACCAGCAGAAGTGTTCATACTCATCCTCTGGGGAGCATCAGTGTTACATTACTGCCAAACAATACTCCATCAATACTCACAGAAATAAACACACTTCAACATAATAAACTCAACACACTCAGAGATAGATATAGTATGAACTGTAAACTACACACTCACATTAATATATAAGCCAATACACACACACACACACACACACACATATAGAGTACCTGTACCTGCGCTCCTCAGGTACACACAAACTGAAGTGGGTGGGGTTTATAGTAGTGCGCTTCTCTGATTGGTCAGCACAGGCTTTCCCCACAAAGAGCAACATCTGCTCTGAAACAGGTGACATCCGTCTCTGTTTACACACAACAGACGGCTGGCTGGCTGACACACACACACACACACACACACCTTTGGATGACAACACACATACACAATCAACATGACAGAGCGACAAAGACACTTATTTGTATCATGACTCTCCCAAAGTGAGCAGCTAGAGTACATTCATTCATTGTCTGTTTAGGGGATCGAACCTGTGACCTTTCTCTCACAGGACGGTCCTGTTCTGTGAGGCTCATGTCGTCGGAGTAGAAATGATTTTGAGAAGCTAATGTTCATTTTATTTAATCTCTTTATTTCTCAACTCTGAGCAAATTTAAACCTTCTGGTTCATCTGAGAGAACAGCAACACAGAACACATCAGCATCAGTGCTGTTAGAGGTATTTAACCAAGGAGTCAACCACGACAAGAGACTAAAGGGAGGAGAGAGGAGGAGAGGAGACGGGAGAGGAGAGGAGACAGGAGAGGAGGAGAGGAGAAGAGAAGAGAGGAGAGGAAACATGGAAGGAGAGGAGAAAGGAGAGATGAGGAGAAAAGAGAGAGGGGAGAGGAGACGAGACGAGAGATTGAAACAAAAAAGAAGAAAAACACAAATTAGAAGAAAATAAAGAAACAACGACAATAGAGACAAAATGAGATTAGAGACTTGAAAGACAAACAACAGATTAAAAGCTCACAATAACGAGAGATAAGAGACACAAAGAGAAGATGAGACAGAAAGATAAACAAGGAGACACAATGAAAAGAAGGAGACTAAGGAGAGACAGAAAGGAGTCAAAAAGAAACAAGACACAAGAGGAGCAACAAACAGAAAGAAAAGACGAGGAAAATGATTTAACAAGGAGACAAAAAGAAGAAAGGGGACCACAAGAGACAAAAGGACAAGAAACAAGAAGAGAAGACAGGAGACAAGAGGAGTAAATGATTAAAGAAGACATCAGACGTGTCTGCACTCTTCTGGTACACTGATGCGTGGAGCTAAAATGCTCCCGATAACCTCGGGATGGGTTAAATGCATAAGTCAAATTCCGTGTATGTGTATATGTAATTATATGACAATCTAAATGCTAACATCAGCATGCTAACATGCTCACAATCACAAGGTTGACATGTTTAGCAGATATAATGTTTAGCAGCATCTCAGTTTAGCGTGTTAGCATGCTAACATTTAGCTTATTAGCTGTAAACACAAAGTACAGCTGAGCTGATGGGAATGTGATGAAACAAGGAAGTGGATTAATCACATGTTTTATTTGACGATAGAGCAACACAGTTACTGAATCTCCAAAGTGAACACGAATGAATGTCTGAACCTAATCTCACGGCGGTCCGTCCGTACGCTTCTAAACAGCTGAGCGCTGCGAGGGAAAGATATGAATTTTGGATTTTTAAACGTAAATTAAAACTAAACAAAATTGAAAAAACGCTACAAAATCATTAGTATGTTATGTTTACGCCACAAAAGTACTCAACTTCCACGCACACATTTAAAACTCATCTATGATCAAACTCATCGCCGACACACGTTTTCCTCCTGCAGAGTCTCCGTCAGAGAGCTGGATTCAGGAGATGAATGTTTTAATCCACCAGTAAACCTGCAGCACAATAGCGCTGACTCAACATGACTCAATCCGCTCAGCGCTCTCACGCACAGAGCGTCTTCTGGTGGCGACCCTCTGCTGCTCACGACGTCTTTGTTAGAGCCGTCAGCACACGAGGGTCGTGTGTTCTAATAAAGATCGAGACCTTTTCTTGGCGTTTAAACAGTAATGGATCCAAATCTACCGATGTGGTTTGATGAATTACTTTTACTTCATTAACGACACGTCTGTAGTAATTTAACTCAAACACGACCTCTTCCTAAACCTAACTACATAAGTTGCTTAAACCGAAGTGAACTGTTTCCTTTGAAGACAGAGGTTTATTCTGAAGAGGTTATTCATGTCAGGAGAGTAAAGGGACTCGTGCTGCTGGACGTTTGTAGGAACACGTTGTCCTGTCTCTGTGTCTCTGTCGTTGCTGTTCGTCATCAATGTTTTCTACCAGCAAAGCAGCGGGACGCGTTTATTGTAAAGCAGCTGAATATTAGTGCAACACCATATATTTATCACCTAGATTAGCAGCGTAGTGCTGCCGTCAAATAAAAACGTCCATCCAAAGTGTTGAAGGAGTCGTAAAGCAGCTGATGGCAGAGCTGTGTTGGTTGGTAGTGTGTGTGTGTGTGTGTGTGTGTGTGCGCGTCATATAAACAGCTCTGTCTGTCTCCTACGTGATTTCTTTAATGTTTGGAGTCAAAGCAGAGTTTCAAAGGTTCCCGCTGCGTGAAGACACACACTTCATGATGCTTTACAGTCAAACCTGTGCAGTTCAACACCTCACAGAGGGAAAGTCACGGCTACCTACAACTACATGATTTAGATAGATAGATAGATAGATATGTACGTTATTCATCCCCAGGGGGAAATTTGATGTCGTGTATAAATATATAACCTGTAAAACGGCTCGACAGCTTGATTCATGTTAATTCTTCATAACCCAACACATCCCTGTGACCCGTGCTCCACGCGCCCCTCACCTCGTCTGATCCATTGTTCTGACAACACGTGGATCAAAGAGGTTCATGCAGAAGAACCATGTGGGGTTCAGGGGGTTTACAGCATATTGAGCTGATCCCACATCATGAGCGGACCTCGTTAAGTCTCTGCTGTCGCTGAGGTTTACGAGTGCGTCAGCGGAACAAGAGGTCTGCTGTCTCTGGTCAGCTGAGGAACACTACTAGAAGTGATTTGATCACATTTCATCTGTGAAGCTCTGTGAATGTTACGCAAAGTAGACCAATAATGAAATAAAGAGCAACCACATGGTTTAGCACATGACGAGACCAAAAACCACCAGAATCACTGTGTTCTTTGTAATGTTTGTTCTTTGGCGGGTTGTTTCTCTACTTTTGTGAGTTTTGACTAAACTGAAACATATAAAGTCAGGCTGCTGTTTTCATTCCCTCACTTCACGTCTCTTCTTCGGCTACGTCCACACGGATGTGTTTCTGTTTTAAAACGCAGAACTTCTGCTACGTTCACGCCTAGCTTTCACACTACGTTGGCGTTTTCAAACCGCTAAAACAGGTCCATTTACTAAACGCTGCAGGCGTCGATTTAGTTTGAAAGCTCCGGGGTTGTGTTTTAGTCTGGATGGGCGGAGTCAGAGACTAGTTAGAAAGAAAACACCTAATGTTTGGAATCAGAGAAAATGCAAACACCCACGTTCTCCTCCTGATCGGATCTTTCCTGATTCGTCCTGACCCCTTCACGTGACCATTATTCATTATATTCTGCTTCTTATGAAGCCACTACCGCCTACATGCATGAGTCCAACCGCATTATCTGCTTCATGTTTACATCGGCACACACATGCCCGGTGTACGTAAAAGGTCATGTGATATGCGTTTCCAAGCTTGTTGGTATGGAAGGAGAATATTTTTGAAACAGTGCGATACGTTTTAGTGTTGATGTAGCCTTAAACGGGTGGGGAGGTCACATCACTGGTGTTTAAACATCAGCTACAATATGAGACCTGATCTTCAGGTACTTTGTGGGTGACAGGAAGTACAGTACGGCCCAGGAGCTAAATCTGCACCTGAGATCCTGAAGTCAAAATGCAGGAAAAGTTTGTATAAAAACGTGCTTAGAAAAGGTTGAAAGGTGCTGAAGGAGGACAGGAGGGCAGTTTTAAAAGACGTATGTGTGTCTGCTGTCAGAGGGAGGATCTCACCTGGCCGTAGTCTGTGGCGAAGGCCACCACACCTCCAGAGCACGAGGACACGGTGCTGGGAAGGTACTGCTCGTCCTCCCGTAACCACACCCGGTCACCCTGCAGGAGAACAACCAGGAGTTTTACTCATCAGCTGCTGGAGTTACTGTTTAAAGAGGAATACACATCCAATAATACCGGCTACAGCAAAGAGAAGCTAGGGGACATGTTACGAGGACATAACGGATGTACTCTTTAGTAAGTTGACTTCCATTTATGTTGATTTCTTTTGGCTGGACTGTGCTTCATGAACCTTTTATTTGTTAGTCCTGGGAGAGAAGGGAGAATATTTAGTTTAAGACCGAGCGGTGAATTAATGGAATGACATGTTTGACCGCTGCAGTTGTAGCTTTGGTGTCGTATAAACACATGAGGGTTGGGCACGTTAAGTGCATGACACGAAAATAAGGGAATCAATCAATCTCTCGATTATCCAAGTTGGGCAAAATGTATCAAAACCGTTTTGAAAGAAAACAAAGTCTCAAGTCCACAAACCAACGGGGTGACGTCACGGTGACCACGTCCACTTCTCACACACAGTCCGTGATTGTTACCGTGACATTGACTTTTCTCTAACCAATCAGAGCCCCTCGGCTGTGGAGAAAGCGTGGAGAACCCTGTGGTGTCTGGTTTCAGAGACCTGTACCCAGGTGGCCAGTAAACCTGCATGTTTATCGGAGTCACATAACACTTTTATACCGGTTGACCTGCTGAGTTTACTGCTCCTGGTTGCTACAGCACTTCCTTCTAGCCAACAGCTGGATATTTCATCACCCCCCACACACTCTGCTGTGTTTGTGGAGAATTAGCAGAGAATTTGGGGAATTCAGGATGAAAGTCTGAAGTCTTAAGTGTGTGTTTGGAGGTTTGTATCTGTCTTTTTTAAATTGTTTGGCTTTGGATGTGAACACAGTACCAAAAGTAGTGTCAGTGTAGTTTGTTACAGCACATGACCCCCCACCCAGTTTGTTTCATGACTGTTGAAGAACACATTTGTTCGGTTGAAAATTCAGACGGGAAGCTCTGCAAAGCTGCGCTTGTTGAAATATGACAGAGCTGAAGGAACGAGAGGCCCCCCGAGGTGGATCCCCTCTTAATCGCATCGCTACATGTGTCGCTGTTCGTTAGCACGACGAGCTAACGCTAACGGGGAAAAAAAACAAACACTGCACTTTTTTCTGAGCCGGTGGCGTATGAACGACCTCTGACCCACAAGCCCTCGCTCTGACAGAGTCGTCCTGGTGTGGCGGAGGGGGGGGGGGGGGGGGGCACCTGGCTGGGAAAAAGTGAGCGCATGAATGGATGGAGATTAAAACAGACACACAGACACACACAGACACACACACACAGACACACACACACAGACACACAAGGTAAAGCTCAGGTCTGCAGTGTCAGCAGTGGATCAGAGGCGAGCTGTGTGTTGTTCCAAACCCTCAACCGTCTTCTGTGAGAGAGAAGGCCTGATTCAAAAGTGAGACGATAGACTCGTCTTCCTTTACTTTCTTCTTGTGCAAATTCTAAAGTAAAACTAAATCTTGCAGAAGCACAAAAAAAATCTGCAATTGTACGTGAAACTCTTATTTTATTTTTGTTGCTATGTTGGTGTTTTCTGCACTTCGTTAAGACGTTGTGTGTCTTTTTTTGACAGAGTTGGTGGAGACAGGTCCACCATAAAGCTTCTCCCAGGTTGTTTGAGAAAAAAACTAAAGTTTTGAGCCGTTTAAAATAAAAAAAAATGAACTACACATTAGTCAGGAGTTTTCTTAAAGATGTACAACTTTAGTGGGAACCAATGGGCTTTGAGCTGAGAGCCTCAGACAGGAAGTCATAAAGCATTTAGAGATGAACTAACATGTATGTTTTGGTCTTTTTTACTGGTTACAATATAGAGGAGAAGTCCCGCCCACTCCGGCCTTCATTTGGAAAAAAATATGTACGGCAGTCAATGGCGAAAGAGAATTATTCAAAAGGTAATTTTGCACATCGAGAATGTCCCAGCTTGTAAATGATTTGTAGAAGTACCATATTGTTTTGCGTGAAACCGCTCAGTGAACTACGTCTCTCGCGTACTTCAGTTTTATGACATAATGCGACTTTCTTGACGTAAAGAATTATCTTTTAAATTGACAAACATCATGTCAAATGGGATCATATAAGTATTTGTCTCCCGACATTGATTATCGTACATATTTTAAAGAAATAAGGTCGCATGGTGGTTTAACCGGAAGGGGAGGGGCTTCACCTAAGCCGAACCCTTACCATTTAAATAAAGCTCTTATATAAAATCACTCATAGATCATTTGAAGCAAAACACAAAGAAACACAAACAGAAAACGTCATGATGATGTAGACAGCGGCTACAAAGAGGAACCGAACAAAGGAAGATGTTCCATTGTAACGTGCACAAAGAGGAGGCGTGTGCTGTTCACCAGCCGGGACCATATGGACATTCCTCGTGTGCACCACCGCAGGAATCTGATGCTCCAATCAGGTTTGGGTGCAGACAGAATGAGAGGGGGGTCTCCCTCCTCCCACCAGCACACTTTTCAAGGCTCCTTCACCACCAAAGACCCCCAACACACACACAAACACACACTCTAGCACACACATCCGTGGTCTTTGTGGGCAGCGTGTGCCGCCGCCCTCTCTCCGACAGTGGCACACCATCCTATTGTGCCCCCCCCCCTCCTCCTCCTTTAATCCACTCCTTCTCTCCTCCCTCCCTCCTCCCTCCTTCCCTCCTTCTCTCCCTCCCGTCTTCACACACATCCACACACTTTGACCCACAGAGCTGCTGGCCCGTTTCTAAACTAGGGCTCCGTGCCAAAGGCCCGTGCTTCACCTCGGCTCCCTCATTCATCACCACTGATTGCCTGAACTCCGAACATCAAAGATCTCGTTTGTACTTTCCGATGGACCAAAGAAAACGAGGAGCTGAGGTGCATTTCTCTGTTCATGGTTAAAGAACACAGTGGAAAACTACAAAGCATTCAGAGAACTCATACCTCCACCGAGGCTGCACGACGCTCTACCGACAGAAAATGACCTTAAAAACCTCACATGTGACATAACACAGCCAAGTCAATGGCAGACATTAGTTTTGGGAAAAAACCTAAATTCTGGGAATATTAGAAAGATTATTATAATTTGTATCAGGCTGGATTGTGCAGTATTTTAAATAGTGTCAAATCTTACAGCTACTCAAACTCATGTTGCTGCAGCACCGAGGATATGTAAAATGTTCATACTTCTAAATATGTAATGTGTTTGCAAACGTAGACGATGTAAACTACCATCAATTACACTGAGTCTGGGTCGAGTCAATACAAAAATTGCGGTTGTTATTGACAGTAGCTTGGCTATTAAAAACGGAGGGTTCGTGCAGGATGTCCATGTAACGATGATTCTCTTTGACCAATCAGTGGGCTGCAATGTTTTAACTCCACCTTCATGTGTCGGCTCAGCTCCTTTGGAACCTGGACCGAGGTGGTACCAGTTTGCATTTGCAACATTTGTAACAATCGCAACATTCGTGAAATTCGCTACATTCACAATACGGTAAGATTAGAAAGTGGCCTATAGACAAACGAGACAAGATGAATTGAACGAACGGGGTTGAAGCTGCTCATTTTCACAATATCTATGTTGTTGGAGAGAGAGAGAGTTAGAAGCAGTTGTGTGAAGAATGAAAATTGAGAGCTTGAGAGTCTTATAAGTTCATCTTTCACTGCGTAGAGGGGATGGGATTGTTTGATTGTCTATTTCGAAAGTTGTCGGACGCTGGACCCCGTAATCTGACGTCAGAAAGATGGTTTCAGACGCGGTTAAGTGAGTCCAACCAGCTCCATTAGAAGCATACGGAGGCTGTGAAAACTCCTCCCGTCTTACTTCTTGTTATTCAGACAAACATCCACGACAGTTGGTCTTTAGACCGTCGAATGTTATGGATGTTTGACATTCCCCAATGTTAACTTTCACTGTGCCGAAAAAGGCTCCACACATAAATACCATGACATTCTAGAAAGTTCATGAAGCGGCAGTAATCACATAGATCACTTTACATAGACTCGAGACGTCACCAAACGCCCTCGACACAAAACCGACAACTTTTAAATAAAGAGGGAAAAATAATCCACAACCGCTGTGATGTGGATTTTCTAAAAGCAGCGGCATGAAAGGAAGCCGGGCCTCAGCCGAGCTAATGTCAACACACGGGCGGGGAGGCGCTGAAGAGTCTCGGCTGGGACTGGGAGCTGTGGATCAAGGACCCAGCTGCTGCACCGGTCAGTTCTCTGAGCCTCAGTAAACTATCTCACCGAGTCAGAGGTGCCCGAGTGTGACCTGTATCCACAGGCCGGATTATTAAAGTGGAAGAGAAGTTGTTGGGAGATTTCAAATTCAGCACCTCACCACATGAAAAGCAATGTCTCCTGAAGTCTAAACAGATAACTGTGTCATCTAACATGTTGGGATTTAGTGAGGACAAGTCTTGGCTTTACAGTGTTTTGGTTTCTCCGATATGTCAGCGAGCAGATATGATGTTCTCGAAAATATTGTGACAAGGAGTAGATGTTGATAGGACAGTCTGCACCGACACCGAGACCCTGTGAAGATAAAGTCAAAGTCGTCCAGAGCTGCAGTCTGCATCGACTGGTGGATTCTGGGATCCACGTAAAACACTTTCAAAAGCAGTTGTTGCAGCGATACTGTTAAAATGTCATGCTGGTTGACTTTAAACTTGCTGTTTACCATCTATAAATTGTGGTTTAAGTACTTTCAGATCCTCAACAGTTTGAGGTGCAAAGGATCACTAAACTCACGATTTGGATCGTATCACGGTTCTGTTTCACGGATCAAATCAGCTGGAAAAAAGGAGCAAATATAACTTATAGAGATGCCACAATCATGTTTTTTTGCTGACGACACAGATTGCCAATGAGTCATATCAGCCGATACAGATTGTTGATTTGTCGTTTTGTTTTGTTAAAGCAGGATTCAAGGCTCCAGACATGTTGTTTTCATCACCGTCCCAATAAAATAACTTCAACTGAAGTCAG